ATTCCCTTAGTGAATTCACTACTTCTCCGCTACCTAAGAGCGAGAGTTCCATTATATCGTCTACTATGACTAATAACCTCAACATGGGCCTTAGATCACCACCTCTCTATTTAATGGTTAGAATTATCTCGCCTGATCGCAGAGCCTGACTATTTTTTTGAAGAGCAAAGGAAAGATGAGTTATGTTGATGGAAGAATACAGGCGCCCAGTACCACGGATTCGAGTTATGACCAGTGGGAGATCACCAACTCCCTGATCGTGGGTTGATTGATACATTCTATGGCACCTGAGATTGGAGAGGACTACTTGTCTATGGACACTGCCCAAGATATTTGAGAGGCGGTCGCTATTACCTACTCTCGGAAGGGGAATTTTTCAGAAGCCTTCGAGTTACGTCGCTCTCTTGAAAGGTCGGTACAAGGTGAGATGACTATTCTCCAGTATTTTACCTTCTTTAGCAATGGGTGGAAACGACTTGACCACCTTCAAGATTACAAGCCTGTCTGTCCCACTGATTCTGCTGGCTACCGGACGTTTGTGGCGCAAGAGAAGGTCTTCAAGTTCTTGGAAGGCCTTAATGTGGAGTATGATCCAGTTCGGAGCCGCGTCCTTGGCATGGATGTGCTTCCTTCTCTCCAGGAAGCTTTTGCTTTTGTGCAGAAAGAGGAGAGTCACCGCTCTACGATGCTTCCTTCTACTACTACTGATCGCTCAGTCTTGGCTTTTGCACCTCCTTGCAATGGCGACCGTGTGACTCGTGGTTCTCGTCCTTCCTCTACGAAGGATAATCTTTACTGTGACTACTGTCGTAGACCTCACCACACACGAGAGACTTGTTGGAAGCTGCATGGCACTCCCTCTGGTGGCCGCAGAGACCGTCCTGGTACTCGAGGGGGTCGATCTGGTCAGTCTAGAGGCTGAGGGGCCCATATTCGGGCACATCTTTCAGACATTGTTGAGCCACCATCTTCTTCTCCAGTCGTCTCCCCTGCTGCTGATGTTTCGGGGTTATCTGTCTCGGATTTTGAGATTGCTCTTCACCACTTGCTCGACCGTCGAGGCTCCACTTTTGCTACAGGTGCGCACCCTTTTCTTCCTTTGCCAATTCAGGTAACTTGGCTTCCTCTCTATATGCATTGCTTGTGCCATGGATTATTGATTCTGGTGCTTCCGACCATATGTCTGGCTACTCTAATTTATTTTTAAGAGTACAACCCTCCTCAGGTCAAGAAAAAGTGCGTATTGCTGATGGTACTATGTTGTCTGTGTCCAGAAAAGGTTTAATTCATGCTACCTCTTCCCTTCCTTTGTCCTCTGTCCTTTGTCCTCCATGTTCCAAATTTTGGTGTTAATCTTTGAGTTGTATTAACCGTGACTTAAATTGTAGTGTGACGTTTTTTCCTGATCATTGTCTTTTTTAATACCTTATCATGAGGAAGAGGATTGGCAGTGGTAGAGAGGAGCATAGTCTCTATATTCTGGATCAGATAGACAAGTTGGTTCATTCCTCTATTCAATTACCATCCACCAAGGACGACATTTGGCTGTGGCATCGTCACTTAGGATATCCCTCTTTTTTATTACTTAAGCATTTATTTCCTTCTGTTTTTGATAAACATAATGTGTTAGATTTTCAATGTGAGTCTTGTCAACTTGGAAAACAACGCAGAGCCTTTTTTGCTCCTTCTAGTAATAAAAGTTCGGTTCCATTTTCTTTGATTCATTTCGATGTATGGGGTGCATCCCGTTTTGTGTCTGTCATTAGTCACAAATGGTTTGTTACTTTCATAGATGATTGTTCCAGGGCGACTTGGATATATTTGATGAAAGATACAAGTGAGGTGTTTTCTGTGTTTCAAAACTTTCATAAAATGATTTGTACTCAGTTTGGGGCGGTTGTCCAAGTTCTACGTTCTAATAATGGGGGAGGGAATATATTGACTGTGGTCTTGCCACTTACTTTGCCACTCATGGCATTATTCACCAGACTTCCTGCACTAATATCCCTCAACAAAATGGTGTTGTCGAACACAAAAATCACCATCTCCTTGATGTCGCCCGTTGTTTATCCTTTGAAATGCGGATTCCTCGATTCTATTGCGGGGAAGCGGCTCTTACTGCCGCTTATTTGATTAATCGTCTTCCTACCCAAGTCCTTCAAAAACAAACACCTCTTCAAATTTTGTTCAGGTCTACCTCTTCCGGGTTCTCTATTTCCCCTAAAACCTTTGGTTGTGTTTGTTTTGTCTATAATCATTCACCCATTCATGATAAATTAGATCCTCGGTCTCTTAAGTGTGTTTTTCTGGGTTATTCTATCATCCAAAAAGGTTATAAGTGTTATCATCCTCCCACTCGTAAATGGTTTGTCTCCATGAATGTCACTTTTTTTTAGTCTCAATCTTATTTTCTGCCCTCCTTGGTATCATAGTCATCCCTTCAGGGGAAGCCTTGGTCTAAAGCGATTCCTGTTCCACTTCCGCTAGTAAGAGAGGATGATAAGCTAGCAGTTGTTAAGGAAAAGGAAGCAAGCAAAGTTTATATCAGGGACAGGATCAGACAGCAAGTCCCCTGGATGCAAGAGCCTACTTTCTCTCCTCTACTGCCAATTTCTTCTCCGGATAAGTGTCCAAAGTCACCTGAGTCATTCCCCTCTTTTGAGAGTCCAGGTAATTCTAATTCTAATTCTAGTGCTCCTATTCCTGAGTTTTTAGATCTTGATGTTCCCATTGCTAATAGGAAGGGGGTTAGGACATGTACCCAACATCCTGTTACTAATGTATCTTATTCTAATCTGCCTTCCTCATATAAAGCCTTTCTGTCTAAAGTGTCTTCTGTGAGTCTACCTACCAATTTTCAGGATGCTCTCTCTATTCTTGAATGGAAACATGCCATGATAGAAGAGATAAGAGCTCTCAGCAAGAGTAGCACTTGGGAGTTAGTGAAGTTACCTAGAGGCAAAAATACAGTTGAGTGTAAGTGGATGTACACGGTAAAACACAAAGCAGATGGTTCCATAGAGCGGTACAAAGCAAGATTAGTTGTTAAGGGCTTTACTCAGACTTATGGGGTAGATTACAAGGAGACATTTGCACCGGTTGCCAAGATGAAGTCCATGAGGATCTTAGCCTCTCTTGCTGCAAATTTGAATTGGCTACTTCATTAGTTTGAGGTGAAGAATGTCTTCCTTCATGGAGACCTCGCAGAGGAGGTCTATATGGATATTCCCCCTGGTTTTGCAGATGCTAAGTCCAGAGGTAACATATGCAGGCTCCGAAAGTCGCTTTATGGGCTAAAGCAGTCTCCTAGGGCTTGGTTTGACTCAAGTTATGCTGAAATATGGGTTTAAGCAAAGTCAAGCTGACCACACCTTGTTTGTGAAACACTCCTTCCATGGTAAGACCACAGCTCTTATTGTCTACATTGATGATATTATTCTAAAAGGAGATGATGTTGAGGAGATTCCTCGTTTGAAGGAATACTTAAGCAAGGAGTTTGAAATCAAAGACTTAGGCAATTTGAAGTATTTTTTGGGTATTAAAGTAGCTCGGTCCAAGGATAGCATCATATGCCAACAGAAGTATGTACTGGACATGCTAAAGGAAACTGGCATGCTTGGAGGTAGATCGTGTGATACACCTCTAGACTTCGGCCAGAAACTAAGTGAGGATCAAGAGGGAGATCTAGTGGACGGGGGGAAATACCAAAGACTAGTAGGTAAGCTCATATATTTATCTCACTCATGTCCAGACATTGCCATTGCAGCGAGCATGGTTAGCCAGTTTATGTATGCTCCTAGAAATTCCCACTTAGAGGCAGTTATGAGAATCCTGAGATACCTGAAGGCCTCTCCTGAAAAGGGTCTCTATTTCTCAAAACATGGACATCTCAGAGTGGAAGCATTCACCGATACGGATTGGGCTCGATCCGTCACTAACAGACGATCGACTTCAGGATATTGCACATTTGTTGAAGGCAACCTAATCACGTGACGCAGTAAGAAACAGAATGTGATTGCTAGATCTAGTGCTGAGGCAGAATTCAAGGCTATGGCTTAGGGTGAATGTGAGTTACTATGGATTAGACTATTGTTGGGAGACTTGGGGATACATCAAGACCGATTCCATGAGATTATATTGTGACAATAAGGCTGCAATCAACATAGCTCATAATCTAGTTCAACATGATAGAACTAAGCATGTGGAGATTGATAGACACTTCATCAAGGAAAATGTCACTAGTGACACCATATGTATTCCATTTGTGAAGACTGGGGACCAACTAGCAGATATTCTCACCAAGGGACTATGGAGCAAACCATTTAATAGCCCTTTCAACAAGCTAGGTATGAGAGATATCTTCGCACCAGCTTGAGAGGGAATGTTAGATAGGGAATAATATTGTTTCCTTATCTTTTGATTTTATTTCTCTCCTTAATTGATGTAATGGGCTGGCCCGTAATTTATGCCTTGTGGCACTCCTGTAATTACTTATTATTATCTATATAAAAGGGAATGAGGTCTAACTCAAACCCTAACTCTTTCTCTTTTCTAAACCTACAGAAGAGCAGCCTCTTAGACTACATGGATGAAGTGCTATAGCATTTGCATCAGACCCATAACTAGCCAATAAGTTGTGATGTGGGATTACATGAAAGTCTTTTGGTCCAGAAAGGCTGCAAGGCTATGTCAACAAATTTGCCAACAATTATTATCCATATTCTCCAGTCCAAAACAGAATCAAGGTATAGAAGCCAGAACCCTTAACTTTCAATTACTAATTTATTTTCATTTTATCCACTTCTATTTCCCATCTCTGGAATGCTCCACAATGAAATTGTAGAGCTACTGCGCTACAATACCGCCCCAAAGGAAAAAAACAAATTGGCCAAACTACATGTATCTTGAAGTCACTTATGAGTTTTGAACATCTAATTACATCATGTAAGTGAAAGGGCTATATTATGTGATGCAAGAAAATCTTTACTTTAAATTCAGACCTTTTCTTATCAAAGTTCCCTTCTCCTCGAACTTGCATTGTGGCTCCATCACTAACACCAGGTGGGATAACCACTTTAATACTTCGCTTCAACTTGACTCTACCACTGCCGCCACAACTTTGGCAATAATCAGTGATTATCTTGCCATTGCCACCACACTTCGAACATGTAGATACCTAGAAAGCATAACATAGCATCAAAAAAGAAAAGGTCAAAAACAGGAAGTGAATTTTTTTTTTTAAAATAGAAGGCTAATAATGACATATTACCACTATTTCCACATTTAGTCTAAATTTTTGGTTTAATAAAACTTTGGGCATTAAGAAGAGGTATTAATATGTTGAAGAATAAAAAAAAGAGAAAGTCGGATGTAACTAGATAGATTTTAAATTTTGACTGGGTTAAGTTAGATAACTCCAGCAGTAATATTATTTCATGGAAGTAAAATAGAGATGCTAGTCAAACATAATAAAATTACAAAGATGCACCATATAGACAACACTGATTTTACATTATGCCATGTGAGTAAGGAGGTAACATTAATTCCAGTTCACATGAAACAGTAAAAGGTCTTAATCCTTAATAAATTCAATAATAAAAATGAAGGTTCACGTTCTGGTTTTGGCCCTACAGTCTTCACCCAAAAATCTATAGTTAAATTTTACGTTGAGAGAGATAGAGAGGTGGTGTGTGTGAGTATGCAGCATACTCCTGATCTAGTATCGATGGATAAATACAGCAATAAACAAAACACCTCATCAATTGCTTCCAGAAAATAACATGATTTTTTTATATTTTGTTGAGTTGGACACCACAAAATATATATTTTATTAATCACACCCACAAATACACAAGGCACTAATAGACTCAATACCCCCAAGTACACTAGCACTAGCACACAATGGTGACTTCACCATGACCTCGATAAGAGAGACCACTTGACACAAGACTTTACGCACTTCCTTATGGTAACTGTAACTGACAAACCTCACTGCCACACTTCACTCATACACGTTTTACACCTATCACTCACACTTTGTTTATCTCATTCATGCACACAACATAGACCGGAGACACCTATTTATGCATTGTGGTCGCGGACTTAGGAAGTCAGTTCTCACCGACTTTAGAGAATCTAGAACAGTCTATGTATGACAGTGGCCCAAATTTCAACAAAATATTTGACAGAAAATTCTAGAGAAAGAAAGAAAATACCAGAGAGAAGATTCTAGAGAGAGAGAGAGAGAGTTAGTGCTGAAAACATATTTAACAGCAAATTTTGAACAAACTAGCTCGGAAATCTGAGTTACAGAACAGAGAAAATTATGCAGCCAATTGTAATGCAAACACCACTCATCTTCAATGCCATATGAAATTACCTGAGACATTATTCCAAATGGTGTTTTCTGAGTTTTAATCACCCCTCCTCTACCTCGACACTCGCTACACAATTTTATGCAACCACTAGATTTGGCACCCGTACCACTGCAGTTATCACATGTCTCCAAACAAGAAACTTCAATCTCCTTCTGTCCTCCAAATATTGATTCTTCAAAGCTCAAAAACAGGTCATATCTGCAATGAAAATAAGTGTTAAACTAACAAATCTGATACTGAAGAACATGACCAATCACAAGCAAAGCATATATGACGTCAGGCTTAAGACTAGTTGATTATTAAGGAAACAAAAACAAAAATGAAGTATTATAACATGATGTGATCATGAAGTAACTGCCAACTTCTCACTCCTCACAAATGATTCTTCCACTGTCACAACCAAATTGAAGCTCTTAAGGATAAAGCACAAAACTAAATTTCTCATTCCTCTTTCTTGATCAGCTCTGAAGGATAAATTTCTCTTTTCTATTCCACTAGTCCATTAGGTATTTAGACCATTAGGTAGACAGATAAAACTAAATGAACTAACTGATTTGATTTTTAAATCTCCAAAAAGCATCTACCTTTCAACTCCAAACTTTTTGTTTCCCAATGCCAAATCTAAGAGAACGAACTTCTTTGCGTGAAGAATCCTTTCTGGAAGATAATAATCCTTGACACCAATCATTTATCATGAAAGTATTTTACACAAAATTATTTCAAGCCAAAGATGAATGGATATAGAAAAGTCAAAAAAAAGAAAAAGAAATTATAAGACCTGGAGAATTTTATCAGGTTCTGAAATATAACATCTAATACCATAGATTGCACTCAATCTAAAACTAACTTTGGCATAGTTTTTATTTTTCAGGAATAATTTTCCATCAAAAGAATGGACCCAACCAAATTTCCTTTGCACACTATCTAGCATAATTTCTAGCACAGCTTCCATCAAAAGAACTGAGGCAACCAAAATTTCTTTTGCATAATGTGAACAGATTTCTAGCTGTTTGTTGATTGAATTCCAAATGTAAATATTATTTTAGAAAACAGAAACCAGTCTGCTAATCTCCTTGAAAAAGCTTTTAGAAACAAACACACACCCTCACACAAAATAATAATAATAATAATTTTGGGGGGCTGGGGATGGGGGGAATATATCAGCAAACTTTCAAGTTTTCAGCCGAAATTAGAATTGACAAAAAATCATTAATTTAACCATTTAAAAATTTTCATCTCATTTGATAAAGTTTGGAATAACAAATTTAAAAAAAAAAAAAAACTATGGTGAAATTCAGCCAAACAACTATTAGTAGTAAGGAATTAGGTTTCCAAAATTTGGCCTCAAAATCTAATTTACATTTGGGTTCAGCTGGATTACAAAGGTCCATTAATTTGTAGATTAACATCCTTGATTTCAAAAACAAAATTAAGCTCATTTGACAAAAAACAATCCAATAATTCATTCAACTATTTGATAATGATAAAGTTTTGGTACCATGTATTTTGAAACTTCAAATAAAAGAAATTGTCAACAATTCTAAATGACATTCAAAAGTATGCGATACTGTTCTTCAATCCTTTGTTAGAACACCAATTGAATTGCAAATCTGCATGTGGACCAAACAAATTTGAAATAATACAATACGTCCTAAGAACAAGCAACTAGTTTTAAAACGTTAGGCCTCACAAGATTCTTTTTTTAAGGGATGGCCTTAAAAAAACAACAGTACAATTTCATTGATTTGCATTACTACATTTTCTGATTATCATCAATGCATCACGAAATCCAATGTCGCACCACGAAAACAATATGGAAATCATACCTTAAAAACAACAAAAACTTGAAAAATATAAATTAATAGGAGTAGAAGTTCAAATGAGTTGGGATAGCTTGCCCATATATTTTTATTTTCAATAGGTCTAAAAACCAAAATCAGATGCTACCAGCAGATTTTGTGCAATACAAAGAACAGCACCAACTAATTAAGGATGTAGTGGATATTCAGAATATCAGATTTCTAGTAGCAGCTAAAAGTTTTACTCGCCTACAACTTAACAGCAGACCTCTGTCCAATACAATACTTTCTAAGGTTCAAAAAGGCAACCAAAAAAACTAGCAGGTAGATGATTACCGCATGTCAAGATCTTGGCTGCCCCTGTTTCTCAAATTGAAGTAAGTGTCTTCCGGTTCACCCCTTCCTCCGAAAAGCCCATTTGACCCACCAAAAAATGTATCAAAGATATCAAAAGGGTCCACCTAGAAGCATTAGATAATTTCAGTAAACAATAAGGGCGATTTTTATGCATTGAGAAGCACACCAGACATAAGTAGACCCCCAAGTCACAGGAGAACATAAACAACGAATTACATTAACATGGGGAGGGGTGAAGAAAGAAGAAAGAAGGAAAGGAATGATCATTTTTTTTGCTGCAACAGAAAGCACATCTTACCCCCTGTGAACTAGCACCTGGCCCTTCATATTCTCCTCGTAAACCTGCCTCACCAAAGCGATCATATAAAGATCTTTTCTCATCATCTGATAAGACCTACACAGATGCTTCATTACCAGATGAAAGAAAAAGGAATAACAACCATTAAAATTCAAACGCGATACTGTATTGTATGTTCACAAAATCAGCTTTAATATGATTATATGATCATATAACCATATGATAAAATAGCCCAATGTCAAAGCCATATAGATCCACAGTTGGAATGCGAAGTGCTGCTAGTAATACATAACTTGAAGTTCTAGAGAAGATTATTGCAAGAAAAGGTGTGGGAAATGCAGTTTTGGAAAATCCAACAACACTTAGGATGAGTAATATCAAGAATAGGGGGGAAAAAAAATCATTCTGTGCACGCATTTGTGGGAACAGGAAGGGAAGAAAAGGTATGGCACCTCATAGGCAGCACTTATCTCTTTGAATTTCTCTTCTGCACCGGGTCCCTTGTTCATGTCTGGATGATACTGTTTGAAACCACGGATATTCAGCAATATGTAACTCAAAAATAAGCATACAAAATTTCACCTCACTAAGTGCAACTAACTGAACTGCTGCAAACAAAGACAATAAAATCTAATCTTGTTGTGCGGTCCAAAACAGGATATAAAAGAAGGCATGGGATTTTGAGAGTGCTTGTACAAGAACCAACTAAAGTTTACATACTTCAGGTATGTTTTATACTATTGTCAGAAACAAAGGAGGAGAGATTTATCACAACAAATGCTATATTTCTCTATTTCAGCTACACCAAAAATAACAATAATAATAATAGGAAACTGTGAAATTTGAACCTTCCTAATTTGAAATTTGAACCTCAGCTACACCACGAAAAAGCACAAAACTTCCTAATTTTTACTAGAAAAAATGCAACTTTTTCTAAATTATGCACATCATATCATAAATTTCCCCAAAAGAAGGCGAAAACAGACCTTGCGAGCGAGTTTGCGGTAAGAGGTCTTGATCTCCTGCAAGCTTGCGTTTCTGCTGAGATTGAGAGTGGTATAGTAATCAGAAGAACCCGCCTTTGCCCTGATTACACCATTGCTGCGACGACGGCGTTGTGTACAGCGATTGACATGGCGGTGATTGAGGCGAAGAAAGCTCGAGCTTGTGGAGGAACTCGAGGAGAAGAAGCTGTTGATGAGAGTTGGAAATGCGTTGGATTGAAGATGAGTAGTGGGATTTGAATGGAGACGAAGCTAGGCGACAGAGATTGCAGGGTTTGCATTGATGTAACGATGGGTCTGTATTATTGGCATTTCCACACAGAGAGACAGAGGGCCGGGCTTTGCTGGTAGTGAGGGTTTTGTGAGAACTCTAACCGCCAAACCTACATGAATTTTTTTGCTTTAAGGTTGTGTTTGGGTGGGTAGAAGTCTTTTTCATTTTCCTTTTTTTTTTTTTTTTTTTTTTTGGTATTAACAAGTTTAGGTCAAGGAGGCTACCCAGTTCAGAACAAGGCAAGTCTTAGCGAGCACTTACATTAGGATGTATAAAATACCGTTTAATCTTTTAAAATCGTGTCAATTCTTATTAATTTGCACCATTTTATCCGTTAATTGTGAATTATGTTAGGGGATATATAACAAAATAAGAAGAAGATGAAGAAAAAAATGAAGAAAATAGCCTGTGTGATTGTGAGAGACACGTTAAAGATGTTGTCCTAAAGTCGTTAAATATTCCCTCTGTGCAGGTTTTAACGATCACAAACGAGTCCAAAATACAATCCAAAACATTACAGGATCTGACACAATGCACAGTTACATTAGAAGAATTTGCTAAGAATGTATCAATTACCCAGAAATATGAAATATAAAAATACAATAGAGAGGAGAGAGAGAGAGAGAGAGAGAGAGAGAGAAAGAGAAAGAAAACAAAGAACATTGTATATTTTTTCCCAAAGTTAGAGTCCTGTATAAAAAGGCTCTATGGTGTCTGTTAGGAACAGACACACCTATTGTCTTTAAAACCAAACATATATTCAAAATTCAAATAAATAAGACTATTAAAATAAATAAATAAAAAATAAAAAAAATATAATAAAAAAATAAAAAAAATAAAAAATAAAAAAATAATAATTAAAGCTTTGAAACTTTTAGAAAATCTCTAACAATCCCCCACAAGATTCAAAACTTTGTAAAACTGTTAAATAAATACAACAATAATAATAATAATAAGATGGGTAACTTTAAAACCATACAATGGGTATGGATGTTTTTCAAACTTAAACCTCACTTAGTGTTAACAGTTTCATTCTGAAAGAATCTTAGTGAACCAGGTCTTGAACTAATTCCCTTTTATCAGAATTCAACATGTCACACATATAATTCACCCAAAAAAAAACATGTCACACATATGGTATAATACATAATTGTAGCGTGAGTTAGCACTATTAGCACACCAAGGATCCTCTAGAGTGAAATTTTCCTAAAGTTTCCTAGAGTGCTATATTGTGTGGTTGAGATTTACTGGCAAGTCACATCAGAAAAATTGATGTGACTTGCCAGTAAATCTCAACCATACACTGTCGCTCTCACTTAGGTGAATCCTCCACAGATATAAGTAACGGATGTCTATCTTGCACGAGTATGCCCATCTCGGATTTATTTAGAGTAAATACTCTTTCTTAACCATCACATTTACATCAGCACTGATATCTTAGGGATGAGCAAGAGAATATAAATAATAAATTTAATAAAGTCTCATTCTTTAAAGTGTTGGAATACGAGTCACACAATAAAGATTGTTCCTACTTGTTGAACTTCCTTCATGGGATCTCCAATCACATAAGTCGGGTTACTTTCTTAGTTGACTCCCTATGAGCTTAGACCCATCCCCCTCGATAAATCTAAGACTACACTCTTAGATAAACTTTTTGTTAACTGATTAGCTGTCACGATCCGAACTCGACCCTATGAGTTTAGCATCATGACCGGCCAGTAATCCTTGGATTACCAATGGCCTCCTGACAGATTAACATATATTAAGGGGCTGCGAAAGCAAATGTACAAAACATACAAAGCCCATTGAGCTGTGAAGACGTACATGGGACAAATAATTTAAATACCTTTTTATAGATGTATGAGTGACGACAAGGATACAATATTTACACATCACTCTATCAGTATGTTATCAGTAATCTTGTCCAAATATCACATAGTATAACATAGCCTAATATGTTTACAAAAACAGCCATAAAAACTTGACTTCATTCGGAACCTCCTCGGGAGGCGCAAGGGTTGGCTGACAAAAACAGAACTTAGGTCGTTAACTCTAGGCTTGGTCGTGTGCCTACTCACCTACATACATAATATAAATAGTGAGCTAAAGCCCCAATGAATAATAACACAGTAAAGACTTTAATGAATTATGTCCCATAACTATGGCTGAACCTGAAATTCATATTCATATTCTTATTCTGAGCATATATAGAATTCAGAGTTCATGTTTAGTCTTACATAATACATCCATCAGCGCTAATAGATCACACACAGAATATCTTAAATCATACTTGTCAGTTCTATATAAGAACCTCCGGCCCGGTAAGAATAACTTGTCAGTCCCATGAAGGGACCTCCAGACTGGGAACTTGTAAACTTGTCAGTTCCACTAAGGAACCTCCAGCCGGGGATAGATGGCTTGTCAGTCCCATAAGGGACCTCCGGACCGGGAACTTGCATATATTTGAATCATAGCATTATGCCATAATTGCTTGTTAGACTTGGACAATCATTCATAGCATAAAACATAACATTTCATAAAACAGTTCTTAATCCGTGAGCAGAAAATAATTTACTTGAACATAACTTTACTAAGTTATTACTGACAGATAATAGGCGTCGTGTCACACCCCAAAATTTAGACAATTAAATATTAAATTAGGACTAACCCCAATAATATTCCATCATCCAAATCTTAGAGGTGAAGCAAAAAAAAAACAAAACAAAACAAAACAAAACGCCAACCAAACCATCCATTATAATTTCATAACTATCAAATACCTCAAACATTAAAGTAGCAACAATTAGTCAAAACAACTTAAATAAAGTACGGTTACAAACCATGCCAAATTATTCCAACACTAAAGTCATAAAAAAATAATAAATACATAAACTACTAACAACTCTAAACTCAAAATAACAAAAGAAATCCAAACGACATGCCCTACAATCATAGTTATTTCTTGTCATCACCATAGCCTCAACTAATCCTACAAAGGAAACTCAGCTGCGCTCAAACAGAACGCACCTGAGTTGCCAAGAGACAAAACGGGTCAGTATACAGGTATACTGGTATGAGTACAAGATTCAACACCCGCGTATCCACCAGGCACAAACAAAAATACATTAAATTCTTATTACATGACAAGACAAGTAGTTCCAACAGCACCGAGACGAATGGATAGTTTCCCAAGATACGGTGGCATTTAGTTTCTTATCCGTATACAACGAAATATAAATTTATTATAAAATAAACAAAATAGAAATAGAAATATGGTGGGTCAGCTCTGCATAAAAAGTTAGTAAGACCCACCATCCTGCAAAAAAAAAATGTTAGTATAAATTAATCATAAGTAACTTGCTGAATACGTATAAAAATGCACCGTTTCCTGCTTAAATAATTTGAATTGACCAAAACTCAAAGAACAAAAATTGTATAGAATCAAATTTTCTAAAAGACTACGCAAACGAATTTAACAGAAACTGAACAGGTTAAGAGAAAAACTTTATCTAAAAATCTAGACGGAATTCAATCGAAAAATCTGAAGCTGAAAACAAACAAAAACTGCCTTAAGATGATTTTTTTTGAAAAAGTTAAAAACATGAAAAGTGTGCAGAATAATGTTTTACTTCAGTTTTCGCGAAACCAATAAAAATGAACTCGTTTCGTTGGTTAAAACAGCCTATAAAATCTGCATTACCAAAATGAATCAAACGGACAATAACCAAGGTCATCCGATTATAAGTTCTAATCGATCTTTTTAATAAAAAGCTACAACACAAAAGTTGTCTAAAATCATGTATACATGCCTCTCCTCAAATTTCATAATTTATTGAGGTCAATTACTATTTTTTAAGATGTACATATCAATAAACTCATAATTAAATTTTTGTACCTTAACTCTACCACTTCGGCCCTCCCTTCCGGCCTACACATATATCCCATGTGCCTCCTATATACCTAACACCGCTCCGAAGCCAAACTTGCACGGGGATATCGTCCCGAGTTTGACTCACACTCCCTGGATGGTTAGCATATACGTACGCGCGCAAATCAAAGCATGACCCATACTCCCTGGATGGTTAGCATATACGTACGCCCGTAAATCAAAGCACTTTTCTACTCATGAGAACAAGGCAACAATATATATATATATACATAATCTCTCATCTACTCATAAGAACAAACATAACAATGTCAAACCTAAGGCATTCAAATAAATCTCATAATCCTCATTTTTTTTTTGTTATACACTCTTTCTCACCATCACTCAAATAAAACAACAATTCATGGAGTCATGATGGAGAATAAGGAATTTATCTATGGGTTCCTAATTAATTTTAAATTTCATATGACCATGAGTGTGATTACAACAATAAAATAAATCCATATAAAAATCCTAAACCTTACGTACACAACTAAACAAAATAATTAAAATCAATCAATCATCTATAAACCCTAAATCTTACATCTACAACTAAACAAAATAATTAAAATCAATCAATCATCTATAAACCCTAAATCTTACATCTACAACTAATCAAAATAATTAAAATTAATCTATTATCTTTATGTAAAAACAAAATCAAACTAACATCAAACAAATAAAAATAAATAAATAAATAAAAACAACGAATTAAACATAAATCAAGGGAAGTGGATTTTGTACTCACAATATTATTTTGAAGATCAAAGAAATATTTGAAGAACTAATGGAGCCACCAAAACAAAACTATAATCTTTTTTATTCTTTTTCCCCACCTTCTTCCTCTGTTCCTCTTTCACGCCACACAGCCACACACAACACACACACACACACTCTCTCTCTATCTCTCTCTCTCTCGGCGCCGTTCCTGCCCTATTTCTCTTTTTTTTTTTCTTTCTTTGTTTATTTTCTTATCAACTTCTCAACCTAGTTGATTACATATTATATTTTATATATATATATATATATAAACCTAAATCTCATACATAATAACCTAATAAACTATTATATAATATTATACAACAAATTATAATATATATAAATATAAATATAAGATAATATATATATATATATATATATCTATATATAACACCTTTTTTTTTATAAATAACAAATATAAATATATAAATATTTGGATTAATTAAATAACACATTAAATTCTCATGTGACCACATAATTAATAAAGTCAAAAATAAAATAAGATAATAATAATAATAAATAATGACTAAAGAAAATTAGGGTCGCTACACGTCGTAAGTAGGTAATTTCGCTTCTTTGTAGCGCTAGACCTACATAGTTACAAAACGAACATGGTCCGAATTACACACCCATAGATAATGACTTAGCCCTTACTTGATTTGGTGTGCTTCTACTTCATTACTCTCATTATGGGGTCTTAATCATGGCCTAGGAATGCCTAGGATGGAATGAGAATGAAAAAATGCACTGAAAACATTTCTCAAATTTCATAAGTAACTTGCTGAATACG